CTTCTTGCTCAGGCCAATTTAGACCATTTCCTGCTTGAACATTCTATGGTTTTAACTTTGCTGGATCTCAGTTATGTACCTTATAGTAATGTGCATGTACAGGTTCAAAAATAATATTTACAAACGGCTCACAGGATCCTTGGCGACATGCATCCAAACAAGTTTCAACCACCGATAGTGAGTAGCTGTTTGTTTATCAAAATTTAGACATTGACATTCCTCAAAGCCAACTTGGATCTCTATTTGATGACCAATTACTCAAATTCCTGGTCGTCTGTTAATCAGAGTTGCACCAAGCAATAATGTGTAGTTTCTTTTCGTTGTTTGTTGTTGACTATGAGCCATATGATCTTAGGCAATGCTTGGTGGGAAGAAGGTTAAATTTAAATTAATATTTGTTCCTTTACCATGTGATGCACTTTTGCTGTGTTCTTATATCATTCACTGACAACTGCTTACTGCATTTTCCAGTGCCTTCCTACACTGTATCATGTTATAATTGTGGCCACGGTACTGATATGCGAGGATGTCCTCAATCTCCTTTGAACCTTGAAGGTATATGCTTTGTATTTGCTCTCCTATCGTTGTTGTCATTCAGAGAACTTGCTTTTTGAAGGAGTTAACTTCGTTTCTTACCAGCGTTTCCATAACAACGATTACTTCCCCCACTCACATGGAGGACCAAATCTCCCGTTTAGTTTTGCAGACTCTAGCTCGTTGATATGTTACATATAAATGTGGTTATGGTGTTTACATTCTATTCTGTTGTCACGTTTCTTGATAGGTAACGAGAACAACTGCACTGATCCGGATGCGGTCCGCAAAGTGAGGCAAAAGATCACAGAGCATATGGACCTGTGGCTGTCCGAGTGCCGAGACACTGATAGAAGTTTCATCTAACTATTTGTATATAAATATCGTGAAATACTTTTAACCATAACTCGTTAAACGTTATTTGACTCGCATTTGAATGAACTAATCGAATGAATATATATAATATCTGCACTTTTTCCTCTTGGGCGTGTTGTGTTGTAATGTATGTATTGCTCGTTTTTTGTAGGAGGGAGGTTAATGGGGAAAGGAGATCTTTGTTCTTCTCGAGTTTGTATTTGGTTTTACCTTAGTTTTAATGTTACGCGTGTTTATTTATTTATTTATTTTTAAAAAACTAATTTTATGATTCTCCACCTATTATTTAGACGTGATCAATTGTGAAGCTGTCAAAACAAATTTAAAACCAACTGCCATGAAAAGTTATTCCTTCGGAAAAAAACAGCTCATTACAAGAGAGCTTAGAGTTTTTGACGTGGAATGGGTAGGTAATTCGCGTCGTTGTAACTGAGCGACAATGAATGTAAGTGGGACAAAAATGGGCGCTAATCGTCTTGTCAATCCTATTGCCATCTCTATCATTCACGACGGCCTTATGGCACCTCGCTTTGCTGTCTGATCACTTATCTGGTATCGGCAAATATCTGCCCACTCGGTACAAAAAACAAATTGATGTTTGGTATGCTTAACGTAATAATGTGACTGGATTATAGTTTATTTGTTTCTTATTTATAATAGTTTTCTATTTTGTTTATGCTGACCGTCGCATTTATTGTGATTTCGAGGGAGGCAAATATTATACAACTTACTATCGAAGAGTTCAATATGCATTGTTTATCCATAGACAATAGTTAGCACCATCCATCACCAACTCTGTAGAAATGCTCACAGCTTGAAATGGCTCCTCTTTTACCGTGATAGCCACCTCACCGAACATCTTCAATATCTATACTTTGATACCAGTGCCTGATGCAGTTCGATGCCCTCCAAAAGCTCAGCGATGATGTTAAAAGATCTTGAAATGGACGAGTTGGCTCCAACTAAACTGAACAATGAACAAGAGCACTGGAAAGCCATTAGACTCGCAGCTAGATGAGAGCCAGACAATTGGCAACGTTGCCAAGCCTTTGCAATGAAATATTCATTTGCCATATCACCATAAGAAGCATCCATAGCAGTGGCACTCTTTGACCAATTGAATTTTCCGCGTAGTGTATACGAGTCTAGATGCCATCAAATTGATTCTGTGACAAGGTAAAGAGAAATGGATCATTTATTTTTCAACCTTGCACGACCCTAATATTAGGTTCAAGTCATCCAACACTAAAGAGCAGCTCTCGATTAGGCTTCCCAGCTGCAGCTTGGAAATGTGGCGACCCCAAGCGAGAAGAAGATAGCTGGAGACATCTCGGATCCAGATAGTGTCATTATCACAGATCATTATCCAGCAATATTGAATCGCAACCTGCCTGAAAGAGAGACAGAAGTAATCAACAATAATGGACAAAAAGACAAATGCAAAATACTAGAAATAAATATGAATAATTACGCATTGCAGATTCTTGAAATGATCGATTCAAGAATATAACGAATGAAGTGAATCTAAAATCCGTGAGCCACTCTGTGTTGTCTGTTAATTTTCCAGTTTCCTTGGCAACGAATAACCGTTTTCTTTGACTTCATTGGAGAAAGAAACTTTGCTCCACCTGTGAAAATATCAGGGGAAAGGACATGGGAGGCCTGTGGCCAGTCCACTCTCGAGTTATGGATAGATCGCTAACCAATCCATTTAAACATTATATAAGAGAGACAACGCATAATCTACTCTATGGTAGCCCCTTCTACATGAGAAGTAAACAACAAGCAATCGGATTTGCGTGTAAGAATGAAAAATGAAATTGACAGCATATTCAATTGAATCGGGAATACGACAATAGTGAGGGAAGCTTGGGCTAGAGAAAATGGAAATGGAAGAACCGTGCCAGACTATTATAGCTCCCTTCATCGGCGATTTTGTCGTGGTTCGAGAAGAAGAACCTGCAACTTTCGCGAGGCAGGGCTACACTCGATCCAGTCTGATTTTCCGATAAGGAAAGAAGTCTTGTATCAAAATTTGTGCAACGCCCGATTCCTGGCAGCAGAACATGGCAAATTGAAATTTTGCTTTCTCCTTTTGACACATCCTTGTTAAAACAAAAAGCACATTGGTTTTGAGGTGCCATGCCATTTGACTAATCAAGTGCTGACAACCTGACAGTGCATCCTCCATAGTCCGCGTAACATTTTCAAACTATAGGACATTATGTTTTTCGTGAATGACGTTATCTGGTATTCAAGGTCTTGATACTGTCAAGGTAAAAAAAAAAAAGATCTTTGTTTAATTGTTTGTTTTTTAAATCTTTTAGTTGGTTTTTTTAAAGGAGAAACAAGGACTATGTTTTACATAAAAAAGATTAAACTACAATATGAGAGTTTACAATCCATGATAAAAAACCAAAAATAGAGTAATCACAAGTGTAATAGAAACATTGTGTCATAAAAACAAAAATCTTGATATTCAACATTTTACAATCACCTTTACCTTTTAAATATTGCACGAGTGTTTGATATCTGATCTTTACTATTGATTTCATGGATGGGGACATGATACATCAAATATGTTATTTACAAAGCTGGTAAAAAATGTTATTCGCATATAATTCAAAATTTAAAAATATAAATGACTTGACATTTCAGTGAATTAATGAGTTGATTGGATTTTTGGTACTCTCCACTGAGAAGTCAATGGATTTAAAAGTTGAGAATTTAAAAAAGAAGAGCACCGCCATTTGAAAACCGAATTTGGAGAGAAACAAAAGCATGTACGTGGTATCAAAACTGTGTTTGGAACATGCAAAAGGTCAGTTGCAAAAATTAAATGGCCCGAGGACCAGCAAGGAATAAGGCTGATATGTACACTTTATGGCAACGAGAATCACATTCTGGCGCCCCTGGAATCACTCTCTCTCTCTCTCTCTCTCTCGCGCGCGTCAAAGCAGGTAGTTTCGACTGGACATTATTGATGATAACATCGCCTCACTCCGTTCAACTAAACAAACGGAATACGTCAGCCATCTCTCTATCTCATATAGATGCCAGCTTTTGTTCCTTCATTCAAGCATCCCTCTCAGGTGCGGTTCAGTTTATGTAGGAGTCTTTTTTAAAATCTTAACTATGACCTTGGCAAGCATTAAATGTTCATGCTGGCATTATTGAAAAAAATACGCTCGCTTGTTAATTAGTCTTTCTGATTTTATTTATGAGTAACTTTCATTATATTTTATCAAAATTAAAAAATATTTTAAATATTATTAACTTTATTTTAAAATTTAATAAATTTTTACTTTTACTTTTAATAAATATTTTTAAATTTTGTTATTAGTATTTTTATTCAAAATATTTAATAAAGATAAAAATATAAAGATGAATATTAAAAATTAATAAATACTTTATAAATGGAATGAAATTTTTTTTCATTTACCCTGTAAACGAGATTAGAGGGGTAAAAGGTGAATCTAGAAAAGGTTAACTTAATGAAAAGCAGTCATCCAAAGTTAAGAAAGAAGGAAAGAAAGTGGGGGAGGAAAACGTGGAGGGAGTGGGGTGGGCCCTCACAACGCGATACATCCCCTTTGTAGCGGTAGCCTGGATCATGAGTCTGGTCTCGCCTCTTGACGGTCGACGCACAAAAATAGTGGCCATTTCTTCAAATTATTTTAATTTATAATTATAATTATAAGGTCACAGATTTGAATTTGTGTGTGGAAGAGCAAGTTGCCGGGAAGCATGTTTTAGGCATTGAACAAATTTCGGAGGGGTGGATCCCACGTGGAGTAGCCTTTTCTCGGTGCCCACTAGCCACGTGGTGCTCGCCCAGCACAGAATCGAACTTCCCAAGAGCCGCGTTTGACGTTTCACAATGCTTCTTCCTTCCTGCTTCCGTCTTCCAAAGTCCAAACGCCTCCTCTCTTCCCATTAGGTGAATTTTCTCTCTATTATTATCACTCCCCAACTCTTAAGCAAGTCTTTTTTTTAAGCCTCTCTTTCTCCCCCCTCTCTCTCCCCCTCCCTCTCTCTCCCCAAAAGTAAAAATAAAATAAAATAAAATAAAAGAAACCACGCAATATTGGAGCTGGGGGAGAGCCTCCCGGCATTGAAGTTGAACCAATCCAAAAGTCCCCACTCATGGGTTCTGACACGAAATTACCAACAAAACAAACAGTGCCTTGTCACATCTGATCACAGTCCATTTCCATGTGCCCCCGTTGCTGCCCAGAACCACTAGGGTTTTCTCTCCCCTCCCTCATGTCCCTAATTTCCTGATCGATTCTCCTTCTCCTCTTCGATCTTCTATGGATAAGCCTCACCACCTCCTGCCGGCTTCTCCCATGGACAAGCCCTCTCTTCCCGATGCTCAGAGACCGGACTTTGACCGTTCCCACATGACTCTCGACTTGATGACCGTCGATCCCCGCCGGACTTCGGGGGATGCCCGGGATTCCCAGCTCCCCCCGGTCCCGCTTGCGCTTGCCCGTGTTGTGGATGTGGCCGTGACGCAGCATGGTAGCCTGCCCAATATGGAACTCAAGGTTGATGTGAAGGCTGCGGACGGCAGCTCGGGGAAAAGAAAGCGAGGCCGGCCGGCCAGGGGTACTGCGAGGGAACCGCCATTGAAGAAGAATAGGGACGAGGAGGATGTCTGTTTCATTTGTTTCGATGGTGGGAGCCTTGTTCTCTGTGATCGCCGGTGAGTGATCGCGATCCCGATAGTTTACGGATTGGTCCGTCCTAGAGAATTACGGGAAATAACGGAGTTAAACTATAAATTCACCAAATTGCTTAATAACCTCAGATGTGGCGCTTGGCAAAACTAATTTCGTGCCTCAATTTACAACGCATGGCTCTTAGGTCGTAATTAAGGAGTCTTACGCTTTATTCAATTCTAATCATTCGTGTCGTTTTATCTTTTCATTTATATTTATCCTCTCTCCCTTTTTGCCTTTCCCTTTTTTTAGGGGTTGTCCTAAAGCATACCATCCGGCATGCATTAAGCGAGACGAGGCGTTCTTCCGCTCCAAGGCAAAATGGAATTGCGGTATGTTTCTCTTTAAACCACACCCTTCTTGTGTGTTGCTGGCATTCTGAAAACTCACCATTAAAGCCTAATACCAATCCAATAAATCTAATTTCCCAAACCCATTCCACTCGCTATTTGAATTGAAATTGTATTTTAAGTTCCGATGCATGGGTCGCTTATTATTGTCTCTGGTTCCAATATTCCGAGTCATATATTATAGGGAATTGAATTAATAGTCTTCAATGCTGTTCCCTTTTTATTCTTTAATCTCATCTGATACAATCTAATGACTGGATACTCACGCATGCATTTAAGAGAAGGCGGGAGTTTTAATTCAATATGGGTTGAGGTCCTGTGCATCATTCTTTATGCAACTTTTTAATTTTTTGTGCCATTCAGGTTGGCATATATGCAGCAGTTGTCAAAGGGGATCCCATTATATGTGCTATACGTGTACATATTCTTTGTGCAAGGGTTGTACAAAAGGCGCTGATTATCTGTGTGTCAGAGGAAATAAAGGTTTGTGCGGGATGTGCATGAGGACTATAATGCTCATTGAGAACTGTGCACAGGGAAACAAGGAAATGGTAATGCTAAACTTTCAATCTCGACTGATCTCATGTACTATCGATTTTGGGTTGTTGTTGTCATACTGATGATGGTCATGTTGTCATTCTTTTCCTTTCTTTGTGCCGCTTGTGCAGTGTGAAGTGGATTTCGATGACAAAAGTAGCTGGGAGTATCTTTTCAAGGTGTATTGGTTGTACTTGAAAGAGAAGCTATCTTTGACATTAGATGAGATCCTCCGTGCTAAAAATCCATGGAAAGGAGCTGCTGCTACTGGTTCTAAGTTAGAAATGCCTCATGAAATTCATCTCCATAAAGACGACAAGGGTTCTGGTTCAGAGAACTCCTGTATAGACATAGAATCAAATAATTTAGAAATTAACCATTCTAATAGACAGCCAAGGCTTCTTAATAAGGAGGACTGCCCAAATATGAACACTGCAGCTGGTAACAAAGATGCATTGATGGCTGAACGCGCAAAATGGGCATCAAAGGAGCTTTTAGAGTTTGTTTCACATATGAAAAATGGGGATGCATCTCTCCTATCTCAACATGATGTTGAGGTTCTTTTGTTAGAGTATATCAAGAAAAACAATCTTTGTGATCCTCAACATAAAAGCCAAGTCCTTTGTGATGAAAGGCTAGTAAATTTGTTCAGAAAAGAGCGTGTAGGTCACTTCGAAATGTTAAAGCTTCTTGAATCTCATTTTCTTTTAGAAGGTGATGCCTCTGCTAATATTATAAAGTCAGGACCAATTGGTGATGTTGCTCGTCAGATGGAGGTTAATGACAATGAAAATAATCAGTCAATTGTGGCTAATGATAGGAGACATAAAACACGTAGAAGGGCTGATGTGCTGCTTGCTAATCCGGACGCATATGCTGCGATAAATGCTCACAACATTAACTTGATTTACTTGCGGCGTAATCAGGTGGAGAATCTAATTGAAGATGCTGATAAGTTTAAAGAGAAGGTTGTTGGTTCAATTGTGCGGATAAGAGTCTCTAGCAGTGATCAAAAGCAAGAGATGTATAGGCTTGTACATGTTATAGGTAAGCTAACTTATAAAGACACTAATTCTAACAGCGATTTTCACATGTGAATATGTAATGAGTAAATGATTTGAAATTGTCACTAGTGACATACCCTCTGTGCAGGTACCAGCAATGTTGCTGAATCTTACAATATTGGCTCAAGAACAACAGGCATTATGCTTGAAATTTCTAATTTAAACAAGAAAGAGGTCATGAAAATAAGTGAGATTTCAGATCAGGACTTCTCTGAGGTGAACGGGACATTTTCTTTTGTTTTTTTGGTGGAATCTCTAGATTTTGTGGTTTTTCTAATTGGGTCTTTTTAATGGTTAATTTTATTATGTGTCCAGGATGAATGCAAACGGTTGCGGCAGAGCATAAAATTTGGGTTTTCAAAAAGATTGACTGTGGTTAGTGTGCATATTATGTCAACTTTCCATACTATGGACTATCTTTTGTTTTTGTGTTCAAGACAGTTTTGATCGTTTGCAGGGAGAGATTCTGGACAAGGCACTGACACTTCAAGCAACGAGAGTTAATGATGTAAGCTTCCCCCCTTATCATTATATCTGTTTTATAAACATGGTTCTTCATCATCACTTATTTTTTACTTTAAAAGGAAACTTGAATTCCACTGAAAATCTATCTGTACATTTTTTTTATGTCCAGATCTGAGTAGTTTGAGCACCTCATATATTTACCCATGCCATGAAAAATTGATAATTGGCTTTTGCATGCGGATCTAGTGAAAGCATTCAGTTAATTAGAAATCTTCATATTGTAAAAGTAGAATTTGCATCTTTTTCTTTTTGTCTGATTAGTATATGCATTAAAGCATGGTCATGTAATTTTGGTGTGACAATTTGATTGGAGCATGAAGCATGCTGTTAGAATATGGTATCATTTTCAACAATTCTGTTCTCTCTGTTCTAGTTGCTGGAAGGCGAGATACTGCAGCTTAACCATCTTCATGATAGAGCAAGTGAGAAGGGAGATAGAAAAGAATATCCTTTACTTTATATAACTTTGCTTACTCCCCTTTTTCAATTAGACTCTGGGTAATAGGAACGCTTGTTTTGATTGTCGTTATATTCATCATGCATGGGTGAATATCTTTTTATGAATGCTTAATAATTTAGGTGGGATTGGCGATTCTTGGATTGGAGGTTACTATTGTAGACCTTCTGAGCAGGCATGTAAAGATAGCTGTTCAGAAGTATGGTAGATTGATCTAGTTATTATTTTTCATAATTTGGGCTCATCTTACGTTTGCATATATGCACTTGACCCTTCTAACATTGTGCTGTTGAATTTTTTTTTTTTCTATCATCCAAAGTTAGGTGTAAGTGTAACTTTAATTTAGAATTAACATGTTCAGGATTGTAGTTGTTCCTTGGCTTGGCCTGGTATTAAGGTGTTGCCATATTGGCACTCTGCCCAATTTAAATTGATCCTTGAGGGGAAAATGTTCAATAAGATTAATTGGAACTGACTAATAATATGATATCTCTGGTAATGGGGTTAATTGGTAGAAGAAATTTCCTTTTAGTTAAAAGATTTATTTAACTGACCTATCAATTGGAACTAAGGCAACTTGCTCACTTTTTATACGTAAGTTACTCATTCTCGTCTCTGCCTTTTCCTGCCTTGTTTATGTGCCAAATATACCTATAAGTTAATCTAGTATCCCTTGACCAAACTGCACGCTGAGAGAGTGCGTGGAGAAGTTGCAGTTACTGAACTCACCTGAGGAACGACAGCAAAGGCTGCCAGAAATTCCAAAAGTATACTCTGATCCAAATATGGATTCAATGTTTGACTCTGATGAAGATGCTGAAAAGTCAGATAAAAGGAAGCAAGGTAAAAAAATCATTTTCTGTGTGGACCCTGTTTTCATTTTTCTTTTAGCAGTTATCCAGGCAATATTCAAGTCATGGTAAATGTGGTTATGTTGATGTAGATGGCAACGTACAGCCTAAAAATTATGGATTTAATAGAAGAGAGATGGAGCCTAGTTCTCCAAGAAGTCAGAGTGGTGTATTGAATGATGTTGGATGCGGAGCACTAGAATTTTCGGTCGCTGCCCATGAGCAGATTGGGAATACATGTACAGTAAAGAACGAGACCAGCCCAAGTGATGCAGCAAATGGTGATAGCAATAATTTAGTAGTGGCAATGTCAGGGACATCTGGTGTTGATTCAGACGACCCATCATTGCCTTTCTCTACAGGAAAGGAGCAGCCATTTAATGATCTTGCAACTGATAAAATATGGCACTATCGGGATCCAGCTGGGAAGATACAGGGACCATTTTCTATGCTGCTGTTGTATAAATGGAATGCAAAGGGGCATTTCCCTCCTGACCTCAGAATATGGAGGAACACTGAAAAACAAGATGACTCTATATTGTTAGCTGATGTATTGAGTGGGAAGTGCTTTAAAGATGCATCATTGCCATGCAATAGCCAGCTATCTTTAGGGATCAGGGCTGGACAGGGTGATGAAGATGATATTGATTTGCCAAGTTGGACTCCAGTAACCAGTTCCTCAACTTGCATGGATTCAACATCTACTATTGTTCATGCAACGAAAACATCACCAAAAAGCTCACAAATTGGTTTTCTGGAGCTGCCTGCTGATAACTCTAAGCCAACTCATTCAGAACATACGGCTCAGTCTGCTGAAAATAAACATTCCTGGAGTACTGCTTCCAGCTTAGTTGGTGGCGGGACACCACTTCCTGAAGTGACTGTTGAGTGGAGAAGATGTTCGCCAGCTCCACCAAATCCTTCTGTTGAGGATTGGGACCCCAATCTTGTATCTGCACCTTCATTGAAGCCAGCTGAAACTGTTGGCGATTGTGCTGCTACTCCATCTTCTATATGTGATCAACTAACACATTCTTCCCCTTCCAATGCAGCCTGTAGTACATCCCCGTGGCAGGCAATCATGGATGAACCCAATGATTTTGTCTTTGGTGAAACAGTTTCAGATCTGTTGGCAGAAATGGAGGCTCTTGCTGACTTGGAATCTCCCACATCGATGATGAAATGTGGAGAGGAACGGACTGAGGGTTCTAATTGTCTCAGTCCTGCAGAGGGGCTTAGCCCAATGCCTGATGCGGGTAAAGGCGATGCACTGAGCTCCACAGGAGATTTACAATTTCCCTCTCAATCCACAGCACCAGAGGTACTACTATGCCAACCGGATGTGCATTACCATCAAAGAATCTCGGAAGGGCATTCTGGCAGAAGTTCTGAAGTAGTTGGCGCGAAGAATAGTGTTTCAGGTAATCAATGGAAGTCAGGTTCAGGGATTCCATCCACAGCAACCTGGGCAATGCCTACAGATACTACTTGGAGACTCGGACAAGACAGTAGTAGAAGTGGTTGGTATGCATCTCAGGTGAATACAAACTTGGGCTGGGGTGGAATGGATAATAAAGGAAACGCAAACACGAGTTGGGGAGCAGGACAGGGGACAGTGCACGAAAACAGGAACATAAATACGTACACTACCTTGGGAAGTCCAGGCTTTTTGGGGAACCAAACTAGGCATGGCAGCGATCGATTTTCTCCTCGTGGTAGGGATGTGAATTCTGGTAGGGGTAGACATGTTTGGAACAGGCAACCATTTGGTGGCGGAAATGGAGGCTCCCAAAGGCCTCCGCCCAGGGGGCAGCGAGTTTGTAAATTTTATGAAAGTGGGTACTGTAAGAAGGGAGCATCATGTGGTTACTTGCACCCATGATTTTTGAATGCACAGCCATTAGTCTCGTTTAAATTTTTGAAGCATTAACATAATGGGGAAGTTTCTCTTCCAATTGTTGTAATTTAACCTTCGACAGTAGCAGTCAAGTGGCATAATTTTTTCTAGAAGATGGCTCTGGCATTTTACACTCATTTGATTGTCCTGGTAATTATGAATAGAAGGTATTTTACACTTATTTGATGGTCAAGTCCATGGACAAGCAATAGAAGGCAAGAAATTCTCGGATACGGATCATGTGTCCGTGCAGTGGATGGGAAGTTAAAAATGCTGACAATGAATTTTTATCAAATGGTTAGTAATAAATAGATGTATAAAAAAGTTTCTCATTTGTAAGTGTACTATCCAAAATACAAAATTTATAATAAATATAATATTTTTAATGAGTTTGTTAATTATTAATTTGAGCAATACAGATTTTATTTAAATAGTTTAATTTAATATTAATTTTTTGTAAATTGATTATTTAAATGTATTTTATACAGTTTATAGTTAATATTAAAAAATTTTATAATCCTTATAATTTTTTATTTTGATAAATATAATATTAAAAATAAGTATAATATTTCTAACACTTTTTAAAAAATTACAAATTAAAAATTTTAAATATGAATTAAAATTAAATTTAAATTATTCAGAGTTCATTTAAATAATCAATTTATAAAAAATAAAAAAATTAATATTAAATTGAATCAATCAGATAAAATATATATTGTTTAAATTAATAATTAACAGACTTATTAAAAATATTATATATTTATAAATTTTTATTTTAAATAAAACCTAATTGTGTGTTTATAATTGAAGAATTTTTTATACATTTATTTTTTATTAGTCATTAGGTAAAAATTTATGGTCAAAATTTTCAACTTTTTCATCCCCGCGCACGACCTTCCACTGCACATGATCCGTATCCTGAAATTCTCAGGCAAAACTCATTTCTTTCTTTCCTTTTCGTCGTGTGTTTTTATTGTTCATTCTTATCCAAAAGTTATTGATCAATTATCTGATAAAGGTGAGAGCCAATAATGGAAAATTGAGAAGCTTCCAGGGTTTTTTTTTTTTTTAAAAAAATTCGACTCGTGTACACGAACGCAATGCATTCAACACTTCACTGAACGGATGGCTGTGAGGAAGAGAGAACTTTTTGGGGGCTTCAATTCATGGATTATCAATTTATCATCATATACTATAGTTGGGGAAGAGTGTACTGTATATATATCTTTTGATGTTTTCTTTAAATTGATTATTTAATTGTTCATTAGGTTAATTGTTGCCGCTTACCTCAATGATCGAAAAATATATTCCTATAATTGTTTATTTTCCATACTCTAGTCTACACGTGTTCAGATATTTTGGAACCCCCCCCCTAAAAAAAAGTTGCATGAGATTCGTGGATAATTTCTCAACGAAAATTTTTGGACGTTTATTTTTTTTAAAAAAAAAAACTACGAAATACTAATCAATTATGGATGAGTTGCATTTGAACGATTGAGAAAAAAAGGGAAGAGCCCTTGCAAAGGAACACAAGTTGGGTAATCCAGAATTATCTACCCCAGGAAACCGTACATTTCCAGGTGAAAGGAACGGGCACGCTGAATAAAGCCAATTTCAAACACAATATTTTTAATCTTTCACGGATGATAGTCATCATATTTCTAATGTTGTTCAGAAACGGTCTCGGATGGGAAATTCCTTCCCCCTCCCCCAAAATTACAAACTCATCTGATCGCAGCATTTCCTCAAACTATTCGCATTCCTTTTGACTTGAGACGCCGACATACCCATCCGGCTCAATCTCATCATTTTATTTCTCGTTGTTGTAATGGTACACTGTCCATTTCACAGCTCCTCACACGCAAGAAACAATTTTTGTGATAGTTTTCATTCCGTTGCTACTTTCTGCACCAAGAAAATGAACGAGGGAATAAGCGATATGAAATTTTGAACAATGTTTCGACTGTCGAGCTTGAATGGTTTTTGCCTTCGAAAGTTTCTTGACGGACGAAACCAGAATATGTTGTCCTTTTGTTTTATCTTTGACTAAAGAATCGTGTAATAGTTCTTCTCGAATTGGTGGTCTTGTGCTTTGTTTGAATAGTTGCCTGTGGAGATAGCATCGGCCAACTAAGATTTTTTGGGATTCATAAGGATTGAAGGTATTTGGTGTTTGTTCACGGAATCTGATGGCCGCGATTGCGGCCTGTAGGCGGGGAGGGCAATTGGGAGCCCATTCAATTGCCTTAAATGGATTACGAGGATTTGTGCCATGGAAAACGCCATCTTCATTTGAAGGAGTAGCTTCATCGGCTTCTGTTGCGTTTTTCAGACGAAATTCTCAGCTGGTGAAATCTAACGGAAAGCGTTTATTTCTTATTGACACATTAGCCATTGTAAGTTGTAAACTGTAATAGACTCCCGCCTTATACCCTTCACTTTCATTGGTTTTACTTATATCAAAGCCTTAAGCATGAAATTGGTTACATTACAGCTTACTCGGTTCAAAGTCTTGTTCTTGTTGTTCTTAGTTACAAACATGCTGTTTGTTGTCTAGGTTAGGAAATTAGAGGGCCAAGGTTTACCCTCAAAACAAGCTGAGGCAATAACTGCTGCCATAATTGAAGTTTTGAATGACAGTGTTGAAAATGCATCCCATTCATTCGTATCTAAAGAAGAAATGCAGAAAGTAAGATACTTTGACATGATTTACAGCCTTCCCCTTCTGTGATTCCATAGTCAATGGATGTTTACTTCACCAATATTACCCCTAGTCCATCTTCTTCAATATACAATGAGATATGCAATTGATGTATTGATATCTGTTTTTTACTCCTGGTATGTTTTCAAGAATGAACTGATTCAAGAAGCCAAGCTATCCAAATTTAAAACAGAAGTGCAGAGCTCTCAGGTATTCATTAACCATGCTCAGCTTTTGGTGCTTGCAGACGAAGCTAATCTTTTTTTCCTTCTTAAGGGAAAAAAAAAATCTGGTTTGTTGAGTTTGTAGTTGTCTGAGAACATTTATTGTAATATTCCTGAGGGGTTGTCTCATCTAGTCATTGGAGTGATATGTCCTATTCCTTCATGACATTTCTTAGCACCTAAACGATTGGTTGCTGGGACATAAAATTGCTGCTTATTATTCTAACTATTTCTTTAGGAATAATCATAATATAGGGGAACCATTTTTCGCTGTTGCAACATGAGACTGACAAGGTTCGGAATGATATAGAGAAGATGCGCAGCGAATTAAGGTTTGTATGATCATGGTTTTGGCCTTTGGCAGTGACCAAGTACTATATCTCTGCGCATGGTATAGCACCTTGATGCTGCAATTTCATGGGCTGTGATGCAGATATGAGATAGATAAAGTCACAGCTGGGCAGAGGCTGGATTTGAACCTTGAGAGGGGGTGAGAACTGAGAATCAAGGAACAAAATATGTTGATAGTCATTTGGTGAAGCATTATAGAACTTGTTAGACTGAAATAACGCTTTTTGACTATTATTATGCCTGATGGTTATACCTAAATGCAGGAGAATTAGGGAGGAACTGTCCAATCAGGGTGCCGAAACTTCAAATCTGACTAACAAACTTGATAGAGTAAGCAAGCGAGTGGCTTTGGGAAATACATTCCTGAGTTATTTGCGTGACGTGTGATGTTCATGATAATGATGTTCAGGAGATTCATGCTTTAAGAGCACAGCTGGAAGCGGCCAAATATGCTGTGATAAAATACTGCATAGGAACTGTTGTTTCAATTTCTGCGGTTGGCCTTGCTGTTGTCCGCATCTTGATGTGAACAAGATTGTGATCGAATTAAAATTTGATAAAATCTTCGGCTAAGGCAACAAAAGAAGAAGATAAAATTCAGGTTGAGGGACTTGAAAGAGTGAAGTGTTAATTTGAAGGTGATGTATTAATGTTGTGTTAGAGGAAATGGGCCTTTTTTGGAGCCCCATTCTTTGCTTTCCATATTCTTTTGTTCATTTATTTGGGATATTTGCTTATTTTGAATTATATTCTCACGAACTTATATCTTTCATATTTTAAATCAATCAATCGGGATGGCAATCGCATTCCCTTTTAAGTGCTCTGTATATATTCTTTTCAATCCTATTGGAAGAAAATATATCTCCGCCATATTTTATTAGGCACTCTGTCATTGGTAGGGTGGGTGATCTACATAGGACAGGCCCTTCATGCGTCAATCCCATTGAACGGACTGATTCATGATGCGTTTGATTTTATAGAAGAATATGTATCTCTACTGTTTTGTGAATTGTTTTTATCATATTCATGCATTCTTCCAAGCCTTCTTTTCTTTCTGCCAAACATATGATATCTTTATTCAAATGCTAAATAATTATATTAATTGGTTCGTTCAAACAAATTTACAGATTCAAAGCCATGCTTATAATAGACTTTAAATCTCGTCTTTATCAGAAATTAAAAAAATCTTGTTCCTTAATATCAAGAAATGACACACTCTCCATATCTGCCTGTTCTCAGCGGCAGCATCCATCTTTTTTCATATATATTTTTAAATTTTAAATGGTTTATAAAGTGACTGACGACCAACTTTATTTGCAACTTACAAATGAACCCAAAAGCAGGGGAGATTATTACAGTAGGAATTCATACAAAGATTATCCACATGAAAGGATAATCAAATTCTCCCTATTTTGCCACCTAGTCGATATCATTGCAGTTTCGCTCCTCCTTCTATATTCTTTTCTAACAGTTGCCTTTATATTTATGTATCTTGAAATATAATTTCTTTTTTCTTGAAAACGATAAAAAAAAAACACAGAAATCAAGGCCTGTTTCATGGGCTCACGTACAATACAACCTCCCCTTAGAAAAGAGGGCACACCAAGCGGTTTCTGGGCACCGCAACGAGTCGACTCGCCCTGGGAGCGGTGAGTCCGAAGATGTCACTCATGTCCATCTCGCTCGGCTTCATGCCGTCCGGCAATTCCAACGAGAAACAGTGAAGAAGGTGAGCTACGGACAGTTCCAGGGCATAGAGCCCGAGTTGCATCCCCGGGCATGACCTGCGACCGGACCCGAAAGGAATGAACTCGAAGTTGCTCCCTTTGAAATCGGGGACCCCTTCCCCGAGGAAGCGGGCCGGCTTGAATGTGTCGGGATCGTGCCAGGCGTTGCGGTCCCTCCCGATGGCCCAGGCATTGATCATCACGCGTGACTTCTTCGGAATGAAATAACCCGAAACCACTGCGTCTTCCGCCGTCTCGTGGAGGAGCAAGGGGATCGGCGGGTGGAGGCGAAGCGTCTCTTTGAGAGCGCATTTCAGGTACGTCAGCTTCTCCAGGTCCGACTCTTCTACTCTCCGATCGAGACCCACCACCTCCGCCAGTTCTTGTTGGACCCTCTTCAGATCTTCCGGGCTTCTCATTATCTCCGCCATGGCCCACTCGATCGCCGACGCCACCGTCTCCGTCCCTCCGAACATCACGTCCTGGTTCAATTCATAAACCCAAAGCCAGTCACGCGCTATGCCAGCGTAACGGAATTTGAAAAAATCAATGAAAATAATAATCAGATCCCAAAATGTTGAATCAATCAAGGGTAGGGGTGAATAATTTTTTCCTTAAAAATAAATTTTAAATATTAATTTAAATCTTAAATGTAACTTTCTGTATTGAAAATTCTCGTTCGTATATAAATGACTTTAGCTAGCCAACCCCAGTCAAAATGAGTTAATGTCCCCACTTACCATTTTGAAATCTGCTTATACTTATCTTCTTTCCTCCTCCACTACTTTAATTCCACCACAAAATTGTTACTCCTATCCTATTTCTTGTTAGTGCGCAAAATATTCATTTTCTGTTGGGGCGGGGGGGGGGGGGGAGATGTTAACGATATGTGTGTACTGAGTTATCATAAATTTTGGGCCTAAAAAAGTTGACATGCACATGTACTGAATTATCATAAAACAATAAAGTGTATACTAAATTATGCAAAATAAATACGATTGTGTTTTCTTTGGGGATATTTGTGCTTAGATGTAAAATTGATGGAGGTAGGGAGCACCATTTTTGATGTCATACCATTATGATGGCTTTGATGTTATCCTTGGTGAGTTTGATGGAGTTCTGTAGATCGTCGGATTCGCGGACTCTAGACTCGCCCTCACTGTAAAAGGCGAGCAACTCATCCACCATGTCACCTTCTTCATCCGGCTGCTTCCTCTTTTCTATGTGTTCCTCGATGATCTTGTCTATGAAGCTGTCCAGCGAGCCACGAGCCTTGGCCAGTCTGGCGTTGAGCCCTTGCGGGTCAACCCACCCGAGACCGGGTATAAAGTCCGCTATATTGAAAGCTCCAAACAACTTGGAGAACTCCTGAAGAATCCCGATGAACTCGTCCTGTCCCTCCTGCGAGCTCGACCCGAAAGCCGCCCGGTATGTTATATTTTTTGTCAGCGAAAACACCAGCTCCCCGATATTCACTTCCTTCCCCGTGTTCGCCCCCACCGTACGGATCACCGTCTCCACTTCCTCTCGAACCGATTGCCACGACTCTGCGCGCTTCCGGCCGAAGAGCTTCACGACGCAGATCTTGCGCATCTGCCTCCAGAAGGGACCGTAGTGAGCAAAAGCCATGTCGGCCCGGTCGTAGGTGAGGTAGCTGATGGCTATGGTGGCGGGGCGGTTGGAGAAGATGTGATCATGCACCTGAAGCACCTGGCGTGCGGCGTCGGCGTCGGAGATGGCTACCATGTGGAGGAAGCCCATACGGAGGTGGAGTATGCCGCCATAGTGGTTGGCTAGCTTGGCTAACCCTCTGTGCGTTAGCTGGTCCATCATCATCATGTTGCCCAGGATGGGAAGGCCTTTTGGCCCCGGAGGGTAGGGTGGTCTTTTACGGATTCGAGAGAGCAGTCCCAGCAAGAGTAACAGTGGGATTCCGCACAACACGACCATGCCGAGAGGTTGAAGATGAACATCCATGGCCAGCGTGTAAATGATCAGACTGCAACTTTGGAGTGTGTTGCTTCTTTGAGTGCAGCTAATACGTGGCCTTATATACACGCTCCGTGAAAATTAGTTTCCATAAAATATGAACTCTTATAGATACCATATATATATATATATATAAACACTATATATGGTATTGTTTCCCAATCTAGCCGCCGGTTATAGTTTTCAAGTAACGGTGTTAATATTTGTTGAGCTGGCTAACGGAGATTAGGTGGCAGCTGATGGGTGTACTATAAATATTTTTTTTCCAATTAAATATTACTGTGAACTAAACGTGCATGTCAAAAAAAGGGGGAAAAAAACAATGTTATAGAGTACTTGCATGGAATACTCGGAGGCAGAAATAACTCGTGAGGCTGGGTGAAATTCAAGAAAACTTCACAAAACTGATATTTGAGCACCAGCAAGAAATTAAGGAGCTGCATTGCATTGCGTGTGCAAGGCTTAGATTGAAGAAATGTATGCCATGTTTATCTCTCTCTTTTTTGGATAAAAATAGAGAAAAAGAAAGTTGTACTAATTCTTGCATCCATCCTTGTGTGTCTACGTAGATATACATTTTAGGTATCATAACCTGAATTGTATGAATTGAACTAAAGCATGCTTCTCTCTTTAGTCACCATCATCTATGCATTGCTCAATTTCTGAATAAATTTTGATATTGTAATGCACTTTAATTTTCCCTCTTCGTTGAGATACTTTCTTGCTTTGACATTTTTTCGTATCGAATTTAAATTATTTTCACTATAAATCATATAAATGGCCTATGCTGTAGAGAGAAGAAAAAGTTCGAGTCAATCTACATGGAATTTATGTGTTTTGCTCATCACCTAAAAAAGTTCAAATCAACCTTTTTTATTTCATCTAATGCAAGCCTTTTTTGTAAAATTTTTGCTTATTAAAAAAATTCTCATGTCAAAATCAATTGGACACTTAAGCACAAAATTAACAGTGTTAATTGATATCTTAGTATTATTAATATTGTTTATGTCACGTCAACATTTCTATGAAAATGTAGGAATCAATGTTGCATATGAAGAATAATGTAGGGACCTGAAACACTGAAAATAAAGTACAAGGATCCATGACAAAATTCAAGCAAAGTGCAAAGATAAAAAATGATGGTTTTCCTATTTTTTTCACACACATTCCACTAGTTTTATTTATAATTCACTTCCAACATATTTCACTATTATCAGGAAAAATATTAAAATTCATTAACTCTATTTTAAAATTTAATAAGTTTTTAATTTTTTTTCTATTAATTATACATACTTTAATAACATATTTTCTGTCTCCAACATTCAATGAAGGGTAAAAGAGAAAATTTGTAATGAAAATTTAATGATGTAACTTATAAATAAGACAAAAAAAATTCTTCTCACTTTACCCTATAAATATTAAATAGGACCAAAAGGAGTATATATATAAATGAAAATGAGTTTCATTGAACTGTACATCAAAATGCCTGGAAAAGACATGCCAAGGTGAGTATGACAAAAAAGAGTGAAGCCGATGGCGCTCTACCCTCTATTAGCTTGCAAAAAAGTTAGTGGTGGTTTTCCCTTTATCAGCATTAGTGCCAAATTAGGGATTTTAATATTAAAATATGAGAGAATGAGTGTTAAATTTGAGAGCCTCAATGTTAAAAATAAACCTTATTTTAACATTAATGTTCTTATAAAATCTTTACTTGTCATTCTCCCAAAAGGTTATGTGAGAACGATAAGTAAAGACCTTATAAAAATATCAATAATTTTAATGTTTAAATAGGGGAGGGGTAGTACTAAATTTGAAAATATTAGTGTTGGAAAAAAAATCTTAACTTAACATTAATGATTTTGTGCGATCTTACTTGTCATTCTCTCAAAAAAAGTTATTGGCAAGTTCATTGCTGTCACTGTATGTATGGTTGGCTAAGGCAACGACTCCATCGACAATACTAAAAGTATTAAAGGATTAATCACAAAAAGCCTCGCCATTTTTCTCTCGTCTATCTTGGAGTACTAACCAAAGAAAGCTTCTAAGTCATTTCCATGCAAAATCCCAATGCTGGCCAGCATCATCCAACTCTTCCCCCTGAAGTAGTTGACAAGCCGACGAAGAGTCCAAATACAATTTGCTTCTTCAGAGTTCGAATTCAGCGGTATCTTCTCAATGGTTTCCTTGCGTAATCTGGCTCAGTCCCATTGTCCATCAGATGTAACAAAATCAACCACATGCTTGGCCAGCTCCGACTCATCCAGAGAAGCCAAAGCGAGCTTGGCCAGAGGGTCCTTTTCGTGCCTGTGTATTTCATTTCTCTTGAACCTATGTCATTCTTTCATCGTTTTGCGGCGGTTCTTGAAGAAAGAAACAAAATAATAATAGTAATAATAAAATACGTGGATGATCAGTCCTGTCGCAAATCCTCAAACTCTCCCTCTCTCGGTCTCCATGCATACGCCCGCACGTATGTCGCCCTTTGAGTTTATCATGCTCTATACGTTGAAAGCATTTTACGTGGCAAAATTCAATTTTGCTGTGACAGATAAAGAATGAGACATATTTTCGTCCTTGTTGCTTCATCGGCATTTACCGCAGCACAGAGAGCCAGGTGCATCTTGGCGATCTTGTTCTAATTACTCCTTCCAATTTATTTATTTTTATTTGTCATGCTTTAGAAAGTTTTTTTTTCCTTTATGCAAGTCATTTTCTCTTATTTTTCGTAACTTTAAATGTACAATTCCTAAAATACTTTTCAAAAGAAATACAATATTTTAATTTTGAAGAAAGCTCTTTTCAAATATCAAATCACTTTTTTTTTTTAATTTAGGGGCAAAGTTGAAAAGTGGATTATTTTTAAAACAATTTTAACTCATCTTAATTTTGGTAAATTAATTAAAAGTGACTTATAAAAAATATCGGACAGTAGGTTTATGCATATACACACACTATATAAATAGCCATTTTTAATATACACATTCACCCGCGTGCATGAATTCCATGATAAAACTGATGCATGTGAACGAAAACAGTGATGGATGAGTCTAGATAAAAGAAAGAGTTCTGGCTAGATCGATTTTGTGTTTCTAGAAAGTAGCAGAAGAAAGGGTAATCATATATACATATACATATATATAAATATATATGTCTAGAAAGTAAAAGAAATGGTAATCATATATACATAAAATAATTAAATTTTCTAGATTATAGAGTATTTCTTTATTAGCACCAGTGCAAAAGCCATTTTTTGTTACAATTAAAAGCATTTTTTATGACAAGAAATGATATGTAGTAAAAACAAGTGTGATAGTAAATGATACGTTTTATCACAATTCACAAAACTATATTAAAAACTAGCATTTACGATCATAAGTCTGAACTAGACTTGTGACCATAAATGATAGGCATAACCATTTATGCTCACAATTATAACAAATAACTATGGTTATAAATGCTTTGTTTTTTTAAAAAAAAAATCACTTGTAATTATATATATTTTTACTTACAAAACTTGCATCAAAACATAATAACAACTCCAAAGATCAATGCAAATATATTCAATACAAACATATTAACTAAATAAATGCATTTCCAACATAAATATTTATAGAAGTATTTACTCTAATCTTGTTGATTATAGGAAGAAACTAGACCAAATGTTGCATATATGTCTCATCTCTCACTTAGAATATGACTCTGAACTTGTGAAATGCTACAAATTTAATAACAATATCTATAAGGATGACAATTCAAGTATAAGGCAAGCTTCAAAATATAAAGCATTAAAAACATATTATTACCTTATCACATGAGCGAATCATGCCTTAATGATGATTTTATATATGAAAAGCATCACATAATAACCACACTCTACACTTTTTGATAGTCAAGCACACTATTGAAAAAATAAAATTAATTCAATACATAAAACCAATAGCATAATATTTATTTTAATTGGAAAAAATTTGAAATACTGACTTGAATACCACTACAAAAGATAGTGGATTAGTGACGGAATAAATTTTTGTTGCTAATTCATCGTTAATTTAGTGATGAAATTTAGTGATAGAATGTTCTGTTGCTAAAATTTATCATTATTTCATTGCTAATTCATCAAAAATAATTTAATGACGGAATTTACCAATAAAAAATTCCATCGCTAATGGTCAGAATATCTTATTTTGATTTAGTGACAGAATTTGCGATGGAAAATTCCATTATAAAGCTTTCTATCATAATTTTATTGCTAATTTCATCATAAATTATTTTTAATTTAATTTTACTATTTATAATGTACATTTATATATAATTTATTTAATAATTTATTATTATGGTATAAATAAATAATTTAAAAATTATAATTTAAAATAATTTATAATTTAAATTATTTGTATATTATTATTAATAATTTTAATTGCATACTTAATTATTCTTATTTAAAAATAAAAATAAAATAAGATAATTAAAAATTAAAAATTAAAAATATTATATATTATATAGATGTAAATTATAATATAATATAATAATAATAAAATATTTTTTAATTTAATATTAAATTTAATATCAAAAATAATTTTTTAAATAAAATATAATAGAAATAATTATTATATATAAATTAATTTTTTCATATCAATAAACAAATATAATGTTAAAAAAAAGTAAATTTAAATACTATATTTAAATTTACCTATTTAAATATTATATTTAAATAAAACATAATGACTTATAAATTAACGTTTTCCGACTATTAAACCTTCCAATTAAGGCTATTGGTTTTTAATAAATTACTAATTTCAGCAAATTAAATCCAATATACATGATATTATCTATTTATCAAATATAACCAACCAAACAATTAAAAAAAATATAATAATTAATTTTAATATATTAAATCCAATGCATGACAACTTAATTATAATTAAGTTCAACAAAATTATAATTACAAATAAAAAACAAAGGATTGGTGTAAAATTATAATTCCAAGGATTTTGCATGTTATGTGAAGTGTGGATCCCCTAAAACTCATTCTAGTGTGGGTTTTTGATTAATGCAAATGATGTTCAGATTAAGT